CAAATTAAAGAAGGAAGCTGAACGAGTTAAAATTGAACTAAGTAGAAATGTAGATTGCGAAATAAATTTAAGTCATATATTAGGAGAAGATAATAATGATGATCTAGACATTGGTTTAAGTGTTTCAAGGAAAGAATTTGAAGAGCTTTGTGAAAAGAAAGGATTATATAAAAGACTTATTTCAAAAATAAAAGAAGTTACAGGAAAAAGTGATTTTGTAGGAAACTCTGTTCAATTGGTTTTATTAGTTGGTGGAACTTGTTTGATAAAAAGAGTAAGAGACGAAATAGCAAAACTATATGACGTAAAGAATTTTTCTGATATAAACTTTGATTCACTCACTGCTGTTGCAAAAGGAGCTGCATATTTATCACATTTGAAATCTGAATGTTCAATTGTTGAAGAAAAAGTATATGAAATAGTACCAAAGTCTATTGGGATAGAAGTAAATGAAGGAAGGTTTTATGTACTTATTCGTGAAGGAGAACAATTACCTACAAGTGAAAAAACAAAGATGTTTAAAACTTACAAAAAAAATCAAGAAGTTGCTGACTTTAGGATTTATAGAGGTACTGGTAACTACACTAGTTCTCCTGGTGTAGAGTTTGTTACAGCAATGAGTATAAATGGATTTCCTTTAGGACCAGCTGGAAGTGTAACTTTTAAATTAAAAATTAAATTAAATGAAAGTGGACTTATGGAATTATCTGCAAATGTTTTTGGAACAGATATTCATAAAGAACTAGCAGTTACTCTTGATTTTGAAAAAGTTGATGAAACATTTGAAAGATTAAGACAACACTTTAACCTTTTCCCAATATATTAATTCAATTTTTTATATTTTTACTTATTGGAAATAAAATGCAGATGGAAGTAATGTGCCTTTTGACTTTATACATTATACAATTTATATCTTTTTATCCAATTCAGGAAATACAAGAAAATTTTAATGCCATGGCTATTGTGTAAAACCTTTGTGTCTTGTAAAGAAAAACAAACAATACATAGAAATTCAATGTCATACAATAAAAAAAAAAGGTCAATTAATAGATATATCCTCAATTGGATTTTATGATTATTGAGAAGTGTTTATTTAAGTTTCTTCACTATGCTCTATTGGTGTAATAGAGTTCATTTATAACATACTCCCATTAGATTGTACTTCTTCTAATGTGCTGCCAGAATTGAATGTGTAAAACATTAAGTCTTTCATATTTTTGATTATTATTGTTCGTAGGATTTTGGAAAAGTCTAATTGTAATTTCAGTACTTTTAATCTTCTTGCTGACTCTTTATGTATTAAACCATTTATTGATAATATAACAGGTATTATTTCTACATATATTAATTCTCTATTGTTTCTTATTTTCTCTTGTAAATCTTTGTATTTATTTATTTTATGAATGTAATTTAATTCTAAATTATTATCCTGACATATAGCAACATCTATAATATATCATTTCTTTTCTTTCATATTTTGATAATATATATCTGGTCTTCTAGCATGGAATGAATGGTCACTAACCAATAAATCTTTATTGTAAGTTATAACCATTTCATCATTATTAATACATTTAGGAGGAATATTAAAATCAATAGCATCAAATTCATTAAAATGGGTAATTAATAAGTGTTTATATATTTGTTTACATAATCATGTTTTAATATTTGATTCTTCTTTCATTACAGGACATCCTAACAATATATGATTAATAGATGCTATTGTGTTAGGACAATGTTTACAATATTTTAAATCATCATTTTGGAGTATTTTAGATTTAATATTTCCTGTCATAGTTACACCTTCTTGCATCTTTACTATTTGGAGGAATGCATTTCTTTTTATGTTTAATGACCTCCAAGTGGCTACTGTTAATTTCTTATCATTGAAAGTGCCATTTGCACATCTTATATATTCACCACATTTCTTTTCTTTCCATTCATTTAAATATCTATCATTTAATTCATTATTTACAAATTCAAATATTTCCTTTACATTGTGCTTTCTTTCATTTAATTCTATTACATTCATTAATTCATTAAAATTAATATTCTTACCAAATGCTTTCTTCATTCTTTTAATTATTCCATTTGGATTTTCTTTTATTATTTCTATCATTTCTCCTATTCCTGTGTTTGATATTTTTATTTTAAATATATTCTTAATAATTCTTTACCATATTCATCTCTTGATGACATTAATCCTAATCCCATTTCATTTATTTTAACATATAATCTACTTTTTGGGATATTTCTACTGTATAATTGGAGGTGAATCAATGAATTTTCTTATTTGTTTATCTATATTCTCCAATTCTCCTAGTTTCAATGGGACAATACTAAATCCATATCTTAATTTGGAGATTATATCACTATTAATCTTTTTTATTGTATTGAGAATGCTATATTTCATAGTGTTTAATGATGATAAAATAGAAGATACATCATTTAATATTCTTGTACAATATTTATTGATATTTACTTTATCTCCTATTTCAATACCAAGGTATTTATAAGGATTATCATTAGTTATTCTTGGTAGTTCATCTAGTTCACCATTTATTTGACTATTAATATTAGTCATTATCCCACTCTTTTCTACATTAATTTTTAATCATATTGCATTAAATATTTCTTTAGTTAATTTGTGTGCTTTTTCCATTTCATCGAGGCTATTAGTCATTATCTTTAAATCATCAATATACAATATGTGGTTTAACTTGACTTGTTTTTCTTCTCAATTCATTTTAATATTTAATTTGTTTATTTGTTTATCTAATTGTTTAGATAGTATGTCAATAGATAATACAAATAAAAGTGGAGATAGGCTGTCACCTTGTATTATTCCTCTTTCTACATTAATCATACCTACACTTTCTTGATTATAATACAAATTAAGATATGTATTATTTAATATATATAATATACTATTAATTACTACTAGTGGGATATTAAAATATATTAAACATTATTTAATCCATTGATGGTTAATACTATCATATGCTTTGGAAATATCATAATATGTTTCTACCAACTTCAATTTAGTCTTTATTAATAATTGTTGGATTATAGTGTTATATAACAATCACTCTTTTGATGCATATGCGTATTTCTTACATCAAATTTGATTTAATGATAATTGTTTTTCAATTGGATTTAACATCAATTGGCTTTCTATTTTCATCTTTAATATTGATGGATATACTTTTAACAAACAATTTAAACAAGTTATTTGTCTGTATTTCTTTTTGTCTAAATTATCTCATTTCTTATATATTAATATTGTTCTTCCTTGAATAAAGTGAGGAGGTATTTCATTATGATTATTTAACCATTCATTAAATAATTTTATTAAATATTTCTTTGGTTGTTCTAAATATTTAATCAAAAATCCTTGTATTTTATCATTTTCATTTTACTTTCCAGTTAGCAGTAAATTTAATAGCACAGTCTAATTAATTTGGAGTGATTATAGCCATTCTATTATTAATTCTATTTTCAATTAATATTTCATATAAATTAATATTCAGGAAATCTATATTAGTGTTAGTTTCATAGATTCATTTCCAGAAATTAATAGTGGAGATATTATCTGGATATTCATCTTCTTTAGATTTATTTAGATGTTGTCTTTTCCATATTTCATCATTTTATATTTCAATCTTATTCTTTTCCAATTATTCTTTCTTGTTTCTATTTCTATTCTTTTCATCTTTCGGAGGTATTTATAATAGTTTATTTGTTCATTTGTTTTTACTTTAATATGGTATATATCATATTTCTTAATATGTAATATTCTTTTTAATTTCATATATTGTTTATTATGGAGTAAATCTCTTAATCTACATATTTTTGATTGTATTATTCTTTCTATACTTTTCTTTCCACTTCTTTCTTGTTTATTTTTATTAATTATGTTAATAGTGGAAGCTACCGTTTTAATATAATGATAATACTCATCTAATGTATTGATTATTATTTCATTTTTATTAATATTATTAATTATTTGATGTACTTTCTTCTTATTATAATAATAGTTAATAAATTGTACATCTTCTTGTTATTTCATTTCTTCTTCTTTAAATATTTTCATTACCTCCTCTTCTTCTATTTCTTCTTTCTTGTTCACTTTTGATATTATTTCTTTTAATTCTTTATCTTTCTATTGATGTTTTATTATTTCTTCCTCCATTATTCTATTGATTTCTCTTTTAATTTCATTCTTTATTTTAAATGTCTTCTTTATTATTTCTTTATATTCATTAATGTCATTTATTTTAATTCCAAATTCATGTATTAATCTTTCTATTATTTCTTCTTTAAGTTGACATCTTAATTTTCTTTCAAATAATTTCAAAGCAAAACATTTATAAAGTGTTAAAATTTCTTCTTCTCTATCTGTTTGCTTCCCCCGTTTTTTTTTTTGCTTGTCTAATTCAAATGTAGTGATCCTCTTATGCTGAATATCCATTTCTTCAATGAAATTCTGCATTAACTTTCTTTTTTTGGAAGATCATCTTCACTTGATGATATTTCATCAGCTACTACCACATTGGGGAGAGTTCATTTACTATTTGTGTTTCAGATGAGTCTGTTATATTGTAATTTACCTCATCTTTCTTCTTTTCTTCCTGTGTATTTTTATTTTCTAATTTAGATAATTTATCTTTCAGAAAGAGCAATTGTTGTGTTAAATTGTTTACTTCAGACTTTTTCCTCTCAGAATCAGCATGGAATTTGAATATTTTTTTATCGCACTCGTAGTTTTTTGTATTTATTTCATTCTCATGCTTCTTCTTTAATGCCATAATATCCTTAGTTAGTTTTTTTATGGTTTGGTCTTTTATTTGTAATTCCTTTTTCATTTCTTCTTTCTCTTTCATATCCTCCTCCACTTTTTCCTCTATTTCTTTTACTCTTTTCTAATTTTCATTGTTTTCTTCTTCTTCCTTTTCTACCAGCATCCTCTTCTCCTCAGCAAGCCTAGCTTCTACTCTCGTAGAATCTTTATCATCGTCTTCTTCACTTTCAATACTCATTACATAGTTATTGTATATTCTATTATCATTAATCTCATTTGGGTTGTACTGTTTATTGTCTTCTTCCATCGTCATACTAATAGTCTCTTCTTCCATTCTGTTTGTTTTGGTTTTTTCTCGTGCAAGAAAATACCATCTCCTCCATATTGTTGATGATGTATATTCTTTAATCTTGGTATTTTTTATTTCTTCTACTTCTTGTGGTGTAAATATTTTAATTTCTTCTTCAAAGAGTCTTTTCCAATATTCTTTGTTTTGTATTTCAATGATTTCTTTTCTTTGATTTCTGTTTTGTTTCTTATTTTGATATTGTTTGTACCTTCTTTGAGTGTTATTGTGGTACTTGTTTTTCTATTATTGATATTGTTTATTTCTGTTGAAGTTGTTATTATTATTAAAGTGTTTATGACGATGATTATGAATGAAGTGATGAGTGAAATGATTTGTATCAACTATGTTGTGATATTTATGGTTATAATTCTTATTGTAATGATTAGTGTGATTATTCATGTATCTCTGTCCATACAGATAATACCTATTTTCACTCATTCTTCTATCATTTATATTTCTTGGTTGATATGAATTTCTTCTTTGGTTATTTGTTTTTCTATATTTTTTGTGGTATCTTCTGTAACAAATTTTTCAAAATAGCAAATAACATCTAATAGAGAATAAAAATAGTTGTAACATTGCAGTATTGGATAGGGGGTATTATCATTTTTTAATAAATTCAATGTCATGGCTAGACAATAATTATTGAATCAATGCATATGTCTCGGTTACATTTTCTTTGCTGTATTTCTTATATGTAATATTCGAGTCTCAATGATGAATTATGTAAGAAAATAAAAAGCAAGAGATATTAAAAAATGTGTAAAAATGTCGCATAATTGAAATAAATTATTCAAATTGGATTTTGTATAAAAAATTATCAATAAATAGATTTTTGAACAAATAAATATTTATCAATCAAACTTGTTAAATAAAATAATTATTTTTCTTTAACATTTTTAGAATTTCTTTTTTTTTTTGGTTCTTTGTGTTTCCTAACAATACTTGGTTGCTAAAACAAAAACATGTTTTAAAGTATTGAATTAAAATTTATTCTTTTTCTTAAAAAAAGTTAAGAAAAGAACCTCTTTTAATTTGACCACTTTTTTTTTCTTCTGTTATTGTCAATTATGCCTTTGACAATACAACCACCAATAACAATTGCAGCACCTAAACCAGTCATGGTATCTTCAAATTCTTTATTTTCTTTGTTCTTTTCCTCTTTTGGTGGATCTCTGTAAATATATTCTGTGACTTGTTTTGGGAACTCTTTGACTTTGGTTGTAGAACTAACAGTTTCCCAATTTGAATAACTTGGTTCATCTTCATCGTAACGAAATCTCTTCTCTCTTACCAAGTGGTTGATTTGAGTTGTTAATTCTTTTTCTGTTTTACTTATAACTATTTCTTGATCTTCCTCTTCTAGAATAACAGATTCATAGACAATGTCCCTCTTTTCAACTTTGTTAACATCAATCGGTGATAATTTTCTTGCCCAATTTAAAAGGGATTCAATTTCATTCTCTGACCTAGAGTTATCTTGTCCTGTACATGGGTTTGAGTCTACAAAAAACATTGGGAAAGTTATATGTTCACTTCCTGTTTTTTGGTTAATATAATCCATCATTTTTGCATTATAATATGATTGTTTAATATGAATAGATTCTTCTAACACAGCTTGAGGGTAAAAACACATGCACTTTGTCCATACTACACAAACATGTTTCCAAAAGCCAATAATTGGGAAGGTATTAGCTATTATTCTAATCATTATTTGAATAACCTCTGAAAATTTATCCTCATGAAAAGGTAATACAACAACAATACCTTTTAATCCTTCTCCTTCTTTTTTAATATAATCTACCATTTGATTCATATATTCTCTTTGACTTTCTTGACCTTTGGAATCGTTAAAACCAGGAGTGTCAATAACAAATATATCACTTCTATCACTTATTCCGTAACATCCTTTTGTTTCATTTGTTTGAGAATCAGGATTAGCGCTAACACTAAACACATTCTTTTTAAGTATAAAATTACCAAGTGAACTTTTACCGTGACCTGTTTGTCCCATCATAAGTAACTTAGTTTGTTTCATTGTCTCTTGATTGATAGTTGTTTACAACTCCTTTAAATACTGGTGATGAGTATAAAAATAAATTATATGTCATTCAATAATATTTTCGTTTACATTTATTTTATCATTTAAAAAATGGCAAGCAAGAAACTCACTTTTTTGAAAAAAATCAACAGGAAACATAACCTCATTCCAAATTTAAAAACCAATTTTTGATTGTTTACTAATTTGAATACAAATTAATAATTTATTTTTATACATGTCATAACATAATTTTTTTGCATGTTATAATTAGACAAATTAAACTAAATGAAATGAACTTTAAGAGGGGGTATCACTATTGCACATCCCTTTTACTTTTTTTTACCAAACTTTTCTGAAGAAACGACTCAATACAATTTTTTATGTTCAACTTTATTTTTTCATGACAACAAAAATAACGTCTACATATGAAAACAATTTATTTTTATTGAAATTACATTGAATTATATTGATAATAGATGACTTATACAATAATCATCAATTGAATATTTTATATTTTAATTATATGATACCATAATTTCATCTTTATTTTCCTATTGTTTTTTCACTATTTTCATTTGACGACAGGAAGTTGACCAATGAAGCAATTTCTTGAAAAAGTATAGAAAAATTAAAACAATTCCAATAAAATGTGATTTCAATACCTTTATTTTTATATAGATTTCTCTGTGAAATATATTCTAAATCATTATTGAAATAATCATGATTTGTTCAAATAAACAAAAGTATTATACAAATTAATACAATTTCTGTATTAAAATATTTATTGTTGATTAAATTATTTCACTTTAATATATGTTATTATCTATAACACTTTAATAATAACGATATGAATACGGTTATGCTAAACAAACCATTCAGTATTTTCGTTTTCTCTAAAACCAAAGTATGTAAGTACATTCACAAAAATAAGAATTAAAGAAAGAACATAAAATTAATTAACATATATGTATATATCAAAAGAATAATACGATCAGGAGAATATATGATTAAAGTCATAACAATATTTTCAATTTAATTTATATTTTTCATCATTGGAAATAAAATATTTATTACCCAGTACCTCTTTATGGTTTTTAATAAAATTGTTGTTTTGGCAGTTTTTATGGATAAGCAAAATACAATCAAAAGTTTACTAATTTCAAGTGTTATTACTTTTGTTCATTTATATTAATGAGACTCTCTCATTATACAAAATTTATTTTATTAAAAATAACTATTAAATATAATTATAAGTTAAACCTCTTCAATTATAGAGTTAAAGGAAAGCCATTACTCCTATTAGTATCATGAATATGTTTACTGTCATTTGTGGTGTTCCATTACTTGGATTTGGTGGATTAACACATATATCCTCAACACATTTGTTATTATTATAGTCAAACTTATATCCGTCATCACAATAGGATACTATACATTTTGTACTCCATTCTCCATTATCCCCACATTCATATCCTCCATGTCCATGTTCTACTTTAATTTCTTTATCACAGTTACTATCTACTTTAACCAATCTTTTATTCTTTGGATTACACTTTATTTTATACTTATCAACTATTTTCAATGTTTCTTCTTCAAATTCTTCTAAGTTATTATTTGAATATTGATAAATATTCACCCTTTCATCTATCATATCTGTCAGAAATTCTCTAGGAATAGTTTCATCATAATTATAATTATACCTAAATGATTCTAAGAAACTTAAACTAAGTGAATATCCATATTTAAAAATACTATATTCAGAGCCACATAAACCATCAATATCATCTACTCCTGTTGGTGATTGTCCTACTTCAAATTCTTCATCCTTACCATTAGGGTCACCATTAAATCCAACAAGAATAGCACTTCCCCATTCTTTTAATCCTTTTGTCAAAATCGAACAAGCAGAATAACAATATGAGTCTGTATAAACTACTATTTCTGTTGGTTTTCTTGGATTTTTCATTAATTTATTTTCTTGAAAAACTTCAATTGATGGTTGTGTAATTATATGTTCAACATCTCCATATTTTATTGTTTTTGGTTTTAAATACCACGGATATAATTTAAATCTGCAAATTACACTTTTAAAAAACCACACAATTTTATTTAAAAAACCTTCTTGATTCACTCCTATGCATTTTTTAAGCTCTTTTTCGTCAAACAGATTTCCCCTTTTATTACATGTTTTGGGGTCAGATAATATATCTCCTTCAATCCCCGTTTTCAACATTGCTTCTGTACATGTTGAAATCCTTGCTGAAACTATCATTCTTACATCATTATGTGGTGCAAATATCTTTTCTATCCATTGTTCAGATCTTCCTTCTCCTCCAGCATTCTCTGGAAGGATTACTTGAATTGGATATTCATTTGAGTCAAATAATTTGATACAATTTAAAACTATTTCATTATACCGACTAAGTGAGTCCATACTTATAAACTCTTTCAATACAAAAGTATTCACTTTTTTGTCGGAAACTCTACAATATATAGGTTCAACTAGTGACCCATATTCGTTTTTTAATTCTTCGTTTTCAGTCGATTCTATTGTTCTGTTTATTGATTTTAAACTTTCTTCTTCATTATTATTTTCTATCTGTTTTGTGTTTTCTTTATATCTTGAATTATGTCTAAGAATTGAATAATTAACATTATCACTTTGTCCATTTTCCCACTCAATATAAATTTGTTTGTTCAAATAATTTTTTGGTAATGGTTGGGAAGTTAGTCGTCCTTGTGTTAATGCGTAATCAGACTCTGTTGATTTTGCCAATGTAAATTGTGCGTGTGGACATTTCAATCCAATATACTCTTTTCCAAATTCACGAATAATATTAAATGGATCTTCTCCATTTATTGTTTTAATAGCCACGTCTTTGTTATCTATTATTTTTTGTGGAACGTCAACTGAAACTCCCTTAAAAACATCTTTTGGAATTAAATACATTTTCTTATTTCTGTCAATGGTAATATTAAAAGGAAGGAAATAATAGAAATATAGCAAATCTTTGTTCCAATTGTCTGACAATTCATCATTTACATAAAACCTTAAATGCATGTCTCTTGTTGAAACAATAAGTTTCTTAATTTGAAAATAGAAGTCATAGAAACTTATTGTGTCTGTATTTATTTTATCTAATTCTGCATCAACATCTACTTTTTCATAATAATTATTTGAAAATGATGGTTGTGGTGGATTCTTTAATATATCTTTAAATACGTATGCCTCCAAACGTACTTTTAATCCGTTTATTATTTCTTTATTTTGTTCAGGTAGAGTGTCCAACGATTCAATACATTCAAATGCACCATCAACAGTATCTATTTGACTCCCTGTATATTCATAACATTGCTTTGAAAATGAGACAGTAATAAATAGAAATATAAAGTAGATCATTTTAATGAATACACCTTTCTTAGTTTGTGTTTAAATACTCATTTATCCTATCATTTATTTACCCCTATTTTTGATTTAGTATCATTTTATTACTATTTTCATTTAATTCATTTTTTCTTTTATCTTCTTTTCTTCTTAAGTTTTTCTATCGCATTAATTTCCATTTTCATTAACATTGCATTTGATTTATTTTTCATGTTTTTAATCCTAAATTAAATTAAACATCATTCATTATTTCGATAATTTCAAATATAAATTATTTCTTAAATGTTATCATGTTAATTAAATTAACATCGATTGATAAATTAGCAATAATTATAAAATAAAATTACATACCTACAATTACCCCCTTTTTATTTATTTATTGTTATTGTTAAATTTGTAAGAAACGTTTTATGTATAAATATTCAATTATTAAATAAAAATGATAATGATAATTTTAATTATTCCAATTAACCTCACATAGATATATTAACAGTTTTATCAACTCTAGTTAAGTTGTTGATTGTAATTTAACATTGTTCTTTATTTATTATGAAGAAAAAATAAATAATGATAAAAAGATTATGAATAAATTAAAATAAATGAAATTAATACAAAATAATTAAATGAAATAAATGAAATAAGAGTTAAATTTCATATTATGAAAATAAAGAAATCAATTGAAATAAAAATATGGAAATCAAGAAGAGAAAGAATAAAAATAGATTAAAATTATCATATCCATATTAATTGAAATAATGTAATGAATATAACTAAGCATCATCATTTACATTATTTAATTCAAATTAAATTTAAATGTTATCATATTTTATATATTATTTTATATTAAAAATATAAAAATAAGATCGAAGGTGGCACGTCTGAAACACCACACACAAACCCTAGTACAAATTCATACTTCGACTCTCCCAGTTATTATCTGGTTATGACGGTGCCTTTGAATTAGGAATGTATTAGGGAATGGTGCAAAGGGTGCAGCAAGAGAATACAGTAGAATATTACATGGATGTAATATAAGAATCTACTGAAGTGTGGGTATGACTAAGAGAAGATTAGTCAAAGTAAGACTAAAAAGAAGATTAGTCAAAGTAATACAGTAGTAATAAAATGATTCCTTCTCCCATTCATAAAATAAGAAAAATGAAATTCCTTAAAATTAAGGTAGAAAACAAACAAAAGGTTAAAAAGAAGAAATAAACAGAAGAAGTTTGAAAAACCTTAATAAGAAGAAGTAAAACAAAGAAATGCTTTCCTCATTTTCCAAGATAAACCTAAAGAATAGGTTTAACAAAGAGATTACTCTTTTTTAATAAGCGAAGGGACGGGATTAGTCTCCCCTGAGCTAGGAAGAATAGATGAAAATGTTATTAACACTTAATTAACTAATTTTTATTAAAAATTATAAAAAATATTGAACATTATTAAATATTTTAAATAAATCATTATAATATTATTATTTTTTATTATAAAATATGTATTTTACAATTAATCATTTGTTTATCTATTATTTAATTATCAGTTTATTTCTTCGTGGTGTGAATTTTACTCTTTCATTATTTTGTTCAATATTACATAAAATAACTTCATTATTGAATCGATTTTTAATACTCAGTGTGTTAAAATGAAGTTATAAAGAAATGATAAAAATATATTAATAATATTAGTTTATGAAGAAAACTTATATTCAAAAATGACAATAAAGAATAAAATACAAAATGTTAATAATGAAATGTTATATTGTATTTTATTCATGAAATGTTCAATAAACTCTAATTTATAAATATTATCACTAGTTTATTTTGTTTATTTTCTTCCATTTAAATAATTATATTTTAGAAAATAATAATAATAATAAATAATTGATTTATCTCTTTTAATATTTTCATTTCTTATTATTTATTTAAAGTAATTAATATATCAATTCATTTATTATAATATTTTCATATTTTGTTGAAATTCATCAATACAATTATAATTTAATTATTTATAAAATACATTAAATAACAATGTCATCTTCAGTACTAACTTTATTTATTTTCCATTTTCATTCCTATGTGCATTTTGTTCTTCTCGATTATTAATTTATCATATTTCTTTTATAGAAATATATTATTATGAAAATTCAAACATAAACAATTTCATTAACTCATATTGTTAATATTTTATTCATAGTGTTCATTATTATCATAATTATTTACATATTATTCATTGATTTATATTTATTTTATTAACCTAAATACTAATTAATCATCTATCTTCCATTAGAGGATTGCTGTGATTATTCCATTAATAATCAAGACTTGGTTTATTGTGTTTATTTCTATTCATTTTGAACATATAACTTCAATACACTGATTCTTCTTACAATCAAATTTATATTATGACTCATAAGATTATTAGAATCAAATCAATCAATACATTTTGAAATACTTTCTTCATATAATTTTTTCTCTTTATGAAGAAAATACATAATAAAATGTGTTTATGTTATTGAAAGAGTGTAGTTATTCAATACTGTTATCATCTGATCTAAATTCAGTTTTGGAAAACTGATTTTCTTTAGTTAAATTTTTATATCAAGTTTGTCTTTTGTTTTTTCATCATTCTTTAAACTGTCTATTATTTCAATGTATATCTTATAATTAACTGTTACATTTTCTTTCCATTTTAATACCTATTGGTGTATTTAAATACTCTTTTATTAATAATATATTACTCAAATTACCATCAATAAGTTTATCCATTGCATTTATAAATTGTGCATGTAGACATTTTAATCAAGTGGAGTTCTTTATTATTTCAAGAATAATATTAAAGAGATATTCTCTATTTATTGTCTTAACTCGTATATATTTATTATAACTGAACTCTTTATATTTGACAACATGATTGACATAAAAATAGTTTCTCTGAGATATGAACAATTTATATTATTATCAATACTCATTAAGAAATGAATGAAATATTCCCAATATATTATTTATTTTGATTATTAAGTTTTGTTAATATTAAAAATTAAATGACAATCCTAGATTGAAACAATAATATTATTAATTTGCCGATTTAAATAATAAAAGCAGTTATTTATATTTATTTTATCCAACTCTATTATTATCAACTTTCTCATAATAATCATTTGAAAATAATGAATATAATAGATTCTGTGTCTTTAAAACGTATGAATATAAATATTTATTCAATAAATTAATATTATCATTATTTCGTATTCTTTTATATTAATTGTTTCATTAATTCAAACACATTATTTATTGTATTTATATTAGAATATTATATTAAACACATTGTTTGTAATTAAAATATGATGAATAAAATTATAAAGTTCAATTATAATGAGTTTAACATTCAAAATCATATTTAAATACTTATTTATTCAATAGTCTATTTACATTATTTCATGAAATATTGTCAATAAATGAATGTATATAATATAATATTACTTTATTATAATTTCATTAGATTCTAATGAATAAGAATTTTAAAATATTAATCGTTTTTTATTAATTCTACTTATTCTATTTTTGTTCTTTTCTTTTAATTGTTTTAATTTATCTATTTACTCTTTTATTTGTTTAACCATCTTATCCATTTCTTTATTTATTAGACATTTATCTTTTAGTTTGTTGTGAAATGAAGAACTGTTTAAAAATAAATAAATCAAATAAAGAAAAAACAAACAAACAAATTAAATGAATAAATATAAAAAATAGATAATATTCAATACAAATAGATATAAATATATTAACATAAGAAATGATAATAATAAAATACATGGTAATAGGATAAATATTTATAACAAATTTGTGTATGTAATAAAATACACTAACATGAAAATATGAAGATAAAAAACAAAAGAAAGAATCGCTAATAATAAAAATACTGATTGTACATAATAACTAGAATAATAATAAACAAAGAATATATTTATAACAATATCTCTAATTAAAACGATATGATAAATATTTTTATTTCATTTGTGTCAGACAACAACCAATAAAGTTATTATTTATCATTATTCTATTATCTTTTTATATCAGTTACTTTATAACCAGATTAAAAATTAAAATTAACAAAATGAATAAGTATTATCAATTTAATTCATCAATCAAAGTAAAACACAAATCGTCTTATAATTATAAAATAAATTTCACTAATCAACTATTGATTATATACATCAATTAATTCATATTTTATATTAACTCAGTATTACAAATCGTGTTTGTTTTTATTTTTTAATTTTTCATTATAAATTCTTACTATGCACCAAAAATCAAGAAAACAACCAAATATACCATCAGTAATAAATGAAATAACATCAACAATTATAACTATTTTCTATTTTTATTTCATTCTTTCAAACTCTTTACTTCTTTTCAATTTTTTCTTTTTCTTTTTCTTCATTATACAACTTTCTGTTTTTTATTACTAATTTCATACTATTCACAATGAAAAACTTCACCATTACTTATTTTTAATATTCTATATTATTGTTTCATATCTTATATTACATTTCGTTTATTCTATATTTTATTCATTTATTTATCTTATTATTTTCTTTTTAATTATTTAATTTTATTCATATTACATTTGCTGCTAAAGAAGGAATAATTAATAGTTATATGTTGAAGCAGCAGAAAGAAGAGAAATACCCAAAATATGTTGAGTCATATTATGACATTAAGAAAACATATGACACAGTAAACAACGAATGGGTTATTGAATCATTAAAGTATTTTAATTATGAGTGTGTCATCATTGACATTATTGAAAGTATGATGACTAGATGGAAGATATTCATCAATTATAAATATAATGAATATACTGTGATGTATTAAATTAAATAGATAAATTTTACAAGGTGATTCCTTATCAAATCTACTCTTCATCATACAGATGAATGTAATTTCTCAAATCATCGAAGAGAAATTCCCAAAATCAAATCACACATTATATATTGATGAAATTAGAATAATGACGCAAAGTGGTGAAGAAATTTGAATAATCCACTATGAAATTAAAGAAATAATAAGTTACATATTGAAATGGAAATATCATCAAATAAATGGATATTTCAGAAGATGGTTTGAGTCAAAATGAGTAGATTAAAACTACTACAGTGAAAGCATGGAAGTCAATCAATATTAAAAAAAATGCATTTCTCCATTTAACTAAAATGCAAGATGGAACAATATTTTGTGGGTATAGAAAATCAAAAATAATGAAAAATGAAAGACTAAAATACTAAACACTTTGTAAAGACAAGATAACAACAGTACAACACATTCTAATATCTGTATTTATCATAAAAAACCACAAATAGAAAAACATGACAATATTGGCATAATAATATTGATTAATAAGAAAATATACATGAAATAACCAATATAAAAAAACCCATATGAAACAATGTTCAAATATAAAGACATCACAATGATATGGAACAAACAAATAATGCATAAAAATGAATGACAATATCACAAAATACCAGACATATGTAATAGATAAAAAGAACAAAACTAGTCTATTATTTGATATGACTATTGTGGCTGATAACAATATTAATTGAGTGTAAATGAAGAAAAGAAATAAGTATAAAGAATTAAAGAATATTCTAATGAAAATAGAAAAACTAAAAGATGACAAAATAAATCCAGTAGTAATCTCAATAAATGGATTAATAAATAAAGAAAGTAATAAATTAATTAAAGAAATAAAAATTGAGATTGACATCGAGAAAGAAGTAAAAAACATTGTAATTAAAAACATGATAGATGTTATTGAATACTGCTTCTATCACAACCAAACATACTCTGTAGAGCTGCTAGAAGAAGATGGAGACTCATTGACGGGATTAGTCTCCCCTGAACCATTAACAATAGAAACTAATCCTATTAATACTTAATTAATTGCTTGTTTCTTATTTTTTTGTTAGATGATATTTCAATAATGCTATTCTTTTTAATAAAAATTATTTAATTATTTACCAAAAGTTTTTGATACTCTTTTTGAAGAAGACGTATGTCTTATACTCTTTTGAGCATCTTCTTGTGAACTTTTTGCAAGCTCTTCGTATTTTCTTATTTGCTCCTGAATTTGAGAAGAACGTTTTAATCTATTACTTTCATTTCTTTCTGATGACCGTTCTGATGACCTATCTGATGATGATGGACTTCCCTTGCTTCTTTGAACTGGATAAAATCCAACACTTTCATCTAAGCTTGGAAGTTGTTTTAACCGTTCTTGTTTTTCTTTCTCAGACTTTTCTTTTCTAGCTTTCTCTTCTGCTTCTTTCTTTGCTTTCTCTTCTGCTTCTTTCTTTGCTTTCTCTTCTGCTTCTTTCTTTGCTTTCTCTTCTGCTTCTTTCTTTGCTTTCTCTTCGGCTTCTTTCTTTGCTTTCTCTTCGGCTTCTTTCTTTGCTTTCTCTTCGGCTTCTTTCTTTGCTTTCTCTTCGGCTTCTTTCTTTGCTTTCTCTTCGGCTTCTTTCTTTGCTTTAAGTGTTTTTTCATCTAACCCTTGTTTATTAATAACTCCTTGTTCATCTGAAGTATCAGTAACATAAGTTAATTCTGGATAATACCACCAATCTCTAACAGAAGCACTATTTCCATTAAAATTATATTCACGAAGTCCATGAACTTCTTCTATTCTCTGTATTTTATTATGAACCTTTACAAGATAATACCATTCAAGATGAGTTGGTCCATTGATAGTTTTTTTGCCAACCCACATATGTCCATTTGTCCAATTCATTGGAACGCATTCACTGTCATTGAAACAAACATATAAGTCTTGTCCGAAATATGTTATGTAATGAATGTTAAAATTAATTGTAGCCATTAAACAACAAATAATTAAAACGAGTCAGTTTAAATGTTTTGAGTGACGTGGAAGACTCAAAGATCTTTTAATGGTTTATGTAAATTCCTGACAGTTCACTATTATTTCATACAAGTCTTATTATTAAAAGAAGTTGTTATCATCTATATTTATCCTCTTTGAATTAAAGAACTTTTAGTATTTCTTTTGGTTCTTTGTTCATAAAATCAAATTATGATGCAACTCTTTGTTATTGCTTTTTCTTTCGTTTACAAATCTATGAATTGATTTAAAAAATCAATCAATTAAGTTTTTTTTTCATTGTTCCTTTCTAACCTTTTTATTTTCTTTAAACTTTTTTTTTGAGAATTTATCTCCTTTTCTCGTTTGTTTATCATTAAATTTATTCTCCTTTTTATTAACTTTTTTCTCTGATTTCTTTTCAAATTTCGTTGTAGAACCATGACTAGAATGTTTATTATTAAGTCGAGGTTTTTTACCATCCTCATATAAAGATTCTTTCATTCGTTGAATCCTTTCTTTTTCAGCTTGAGTAATTTTTCGTTCATCATATGGAGCTAATCTTTTAAGTGATAACATTTGATTTAATTCTTTATCATCTAAACAGAGAATATCATATGCAGTTAGTCCAGAATCATCCTTTGGTACATTAATATAAGGAAATCTTGTTTTTTCTCCATTTACAATATCTTCAAAATCCATTCCATAATAATCATCAATCATTTTATCTAATTTTTTATCTTTTCCTCGTAAATGTGAAATGTCAACACGTTCTTTAGTTCCATCTGATCGTTCAACAGAGATAGAATCTAACTTATCTTTTTTATTTCTTTTCTTTTCAGATTTATTATTTATTTTTATCTCTTGATCTTCTTCTTCATTTTCTTCTTCCATTGGATTTTCTTCTTCCATTTGACCCTCTTTTTTCATTTCTCCTGCAATTTCTGCTCTTAAGGCTTCAATGCCATCATCTTCTTGATTATAATAATCATCACCAAATTGTTTTTCCATCATTTCATCATATTTGCTTTCATCAAAATCTTCATCCATAAAGTGTTGGTCAAAACTTACACCAGCATCTTTTTGTAATTCCTTGATTCTTTCTTCAATCTTTTTCTTTTGTTCTTTCTTTTGTTCAGCAGTGACTGCCATTGCTTTTCTTTTTTCTTCTTCTTTCTTTGCTTTTCTACGTTCTCGTTGTTCTTTTCTTTTGTTGTGTTCTTTACGAAGTGAGTCTTTAACAGTTCTTCCATATGAAACAATTCCAAGCCTTTGTTCAGCTTCAAAATCGTCTTCTGCATCAACTGCTTTTTGATCTTCATCCAAATCTACATCCTCTTTACCGTCTTCTATTTCTTCCCATTTCTTTTCAAGAATATATTTCTTTAAAAATTCGTCGTCAGGATTATCTGACTTAGTCCAATATTGTTTTGCATTATCATCTAATTGTTCTAATTCTTCATCAACATTTATTGGCTCTGGTTTTTGTTTTGTTATTAACAAATCATCATCTTCACTCATTTCATCAGCTTTTTGATGGAATTCTTTCAATAACCTTCCTTGTTCTTCAACAATTGTTTCTTTTTTGGGTTTTTCTTCTTCTTCAAATACATTAGCCTCACCTCCTTTTTTATCAACTTCCATAACACGTTCTCTAATATAATCTCCAAGTTTAATTTTCTTTTCTTCTTCAATGGTTGGAATAACTAATTCTCCTTCAAAACATTTCTTGTCAACTTTTTCACCATGTGCAAGTTTTGGTAATAATTCTAGGAATTCTTCATGCCATTCTTTTGGTTCAAAAGTTCCATAATCGTCTTCAGCTTCTTGTTCACTTGGGTCTGAAGTTTCTAATTGTCCATATTGATCACCAGAATTACTTGAGGAAGAACTAGTTGACTTTTTTTCTTGAACTTCTTCATCTTCATCAACAATGGTTTGGTTTGGTCCTGCTTTGCTCATGTTTTCTTAAACTACTCAAGAAATTTTCATATATTTCAAAACCTATTTTGTATAATATTAATTTCTTTTTATTATTCTTCTTTATTACTTTTGAAATTATTTTGCTTTAGACAATCAACCAATTTAAAAGGAAGGTTAAAATTGAAATAAGTAAACACTATTTTTAAATTGTTGTTCATTTCAAATTACCTTATGTTAAATGTACTTCTTATTTGAAAAATTGGAATTTAAAAGCTATATTGAAGTTTAGTATAAATTCAACTTCAAGGATGTTCATTTTATTAAAATGGATATAATTTTTTATTATAAACTTTATTAAGTTGTTTAAATTCAATAAATAGCAAAGAATATTCTGAAATTCTCTATTTTAACTAATAAATCGAAAAAATTAAGTTCCAAATTGACACTACTCATTTTTAAACACGAATTAAAAGAATTAAGGTATTACTTAAAAGAAGACAAATTTCTTGGAATTATATTTTTAAGTGAGTTAAATAAAGCCAACACTAAAAAAAAAAGCTAATACATGGGTATTACAGCATCTAACCCAAAAAATTATTGAATTTTTTTACTTTTAAAAATATTTCTATATAAAAAGGGGAAAAGAATAAGAAAAAAAAGGGAGAAAGAATAAGAAAAAAAGGGGAAATAACCCATTAGAATTATCTGTGGTTTTTGGAAGGTCAAGACTATAAAAAGAAATAATAAAAAATTAATAAAAAAAACTATACAAATAGATGATTTAAAAATAAATAAAAAAAGAAGAAAAAAACGAGATCAGACTAGTAATTCATTTCATTCATTATGGCGGAAAGAAGAACTGTCAAAATTGTAATGGTAGGAGATGGTGCTGTTGGTAAAGTTTGTTAAAATTATAAGGTTAATTCATCTGAAAAAAAGAAATGAATTAATAAATGATAGACTGCTTTATGTAGTACTTTTGTTAATAACCAATTTCCACAAGACTATATTCCAACTGTATTTGATAATTTTTCACGTCTTCAAACTGTAGATGGAGAACAAGTAACAATGAGTATTTGGGATACAGCAGGACAAGAAGAATATGTTTGTTAATAATTTCAATTTAAAATGATAAAACAAAAGAGTTTAACTTAATTATAGGACCGTTTGAGACCAATGAGTTATCCAAATACAAATATTCTTATTATTTGTTTTTCAATTGATTCAAGAAGTTCTTTTGGAAATATTTCTCAACGATGGTTACCTGAAATTAAACATTTTTGTCCAAATGCTCCATTTTTATTAGCAGCAACAAAGACTGATCTTCGTGATTCTGAAGATGTTAAAAGTAAACTTCAAATGGAAGGTAAAACTTTAATTTCAAAAGAAGAGTCTCAACAACTTATGAAAAAAATTAAGGCTGCTGGTTATTGTGAATGTTCTGCTCTTCAAAACAAAGGTGTTGCTGAACTTTTTGATGAAGCTGTGAGAAAAACTAAAGTAGGAGGAAAAGGTAAAAAGAAAGGAGGGTGTGACCTCTTGTAATTCACTGTTATAACTGAATAGAAAATATGGTTACTCTTCTTGATTAAAAATAAAATAACAATTTAATTTTTGTTTTGTTTTTTATTTATGTTATAAAATAAAAAAATATTCTTTTGTTATATAAAATTATTATAGGTTTTTTAATTACTTTTTATTTTGTATTGTTATGGGAAAGGTACATAGTTTTCCTTTGAGAAAAGACCCTTTTTCACAATTACTACAATGGTCAGAATTAACAACTAGTCAATTGGTTTTTGATAGTGACACAGACGGAGAAGATCAAGATAGGTTTCTTCAATGTATTTTAAAAAAAGAAAATCTTTATGTCATTGTCATTGATGAATTTGATACAATCTTTGGGATATATCTTCATTATCCATTAATGTCACCATTCAAGTATCCAAGAGACCCACAACATTTTATTTTTTCAATGAAAAAGAAAAATAAACAAGAGTTTATACGGTTTTTACCTAAACAAACTTCCTTAAATAAATCATTAAAAGGAGTAAATAATAATAAGAATTGTTTATTTATTTGTGGAGATGATTCAGTGTGTATATGGAATTCAAGGTATAAAAAGAGTTATATATGGGAACCAATGAGAGTATATGAAATGAAAGAGAATAAAGAAATTAATGGAACAGAATATCCTAACTTACACAATTTATTTTCAATACAAAGAATTATTGTTATTCAAATGAAATAAACAGAAAAAAAGAAGAGAAGAAAGAATCAAAAACAAAAAAATTATAATAAACTATCAATCAATAAAATTTAATATTTGTTATTGATAACACAATAATTATTTTTGATCTCTATCAGGTCGTTTAATTTTAAAAACTTTTACATTATCATTAGACACAACACCATCTAAATTATGAGGTGTAATAAAAATATATTGTCTTTTATTTTGTGATTTTGTTGTTTCCATTAATGTTTGTATAGCGACTTTTCGAGCCATAGAATCCATATAAACATCAAATTCATCCATTGCTCTAAAAGGGCAATCAACTACATTCCATAATGCAAGTAATAAACAAACAGTAGAATAACTACGTTCACCACCAGAAAGAGTTTTAGCACTTCTTTCAGAATCATTATCAATAGAAACTTCTACGTCAAGAATTCTTTTAGAATGGTCAAGTTTAATTTTACCTTTACAACCAGGTTTTTTTTCAAGGTATTGATTAAACAACAGCATAGTTTTTGTTGCAGTTACTTTAAGTAATTCAGTATATTTTCTTTTTCTTCTTTCTAATTCAATTTCTAATTTTGTTTGTAAAGTTTCAATTGAATTAATTTGATCTGTTAAACCATCTAATTGATGTTGTTTTCTTTCAAGTTCATTTTCAACTTCATCATAATTAACATTTTCTAAATTAATTTGTTGTTGTTTTTTTTCTAATTTAATACGTTCATTAACAATACTTTCAACACTTTTTGAAGTTTCAATTTTTTCAAATTCAGAAGAAAGAATAGTAATTTCTTGTAATTGTTGTTGTTCTTCAATTAATAATTCATTTTGGTGTTGAATTTCAATTTGGAATTCTTTTCTTTGTTTAATTAAATCAATTTTATTTTCATTAATTTCATCAATTTGTTTTCTGATATTTACAAGTAAAACTTTTTGTTTTTTTGATTCATTTTCAATTTGTGTTTTTAATGAACAAATTTTTTGATATTCAATTTTTTGAAATTCTTCTCTTTTAATTAATTCATTAGTTTTTGTTTTTTGATTTTTAACTTCTTCTAATAATTCATTTAATTTATTTTTTGAAATTGATAAATTCATTTCCATTTCTTTAATATCTTCTGGTTCTTTTATTATTATATTTTCAGTTTCTTTTTTTTTACTTTCAACAAGTCTTGTATTTCTTTCAGCTTCTCTTAAATTTCTTTTTAATTCATTTAATTGAATAAGTAAAGCTTCTTTTTCTTTTTTAGCTTGATTTTTTAATTCAACTTTTCCTTGTAAATCCATTTTAGAAGTTTTAATTTGTTGTTCAATTAATTGAATTGAATCTTCAATATTTTGACCTCCATAAATTGCTCTACTAGGTAATCTATAAGGAAAATATGCTTCAGTTTTACCTGATTTTTGCATAAAACTACCATTTGAAAGATAAATAAATTTTGCACCAAGTTTCATTAATTCTTTTCCATCATTAAAAGTATTAGCAACAGCAATAGTATCAATATTAATATGGTCAATAAGAATATTAAAAATAACAGGACTAGAAATTGTAATAACATTAAGTAATGTTAAATAATTTTGTTTTTTAATGTCATATTTTTGATTCCCAAATTTGATATTATAAACATAAATTTGAATATCAAAATTTATTTTTTTTGCTATTTCTCTTAACTTTTTTTTATCATTTTCTGTTCTAACAACAAATGATGCTAATGTTGATTTTTTTATACAATTTTCTACTGCATGATTCCATTTATTATCTTTTAATTGAATATATTCTCCTATTGGTCCTTCAATTTGATATTCAAATGTTGTTTGTTCAATTGTTTTAATCATTCTTGGCATATTTGGATGATAAATTGTCATTTTATCTCGTTTTTGCATTTCTAATTTATCTTTTTCATTTTCAAATGCTTTAATATCATTTTGAATATGTTTAATATCATCACCATATCCATTTAATGATTGTACTTTAACTGTAAATTCTTTTTCTAATGGATTTAATTCATCTTTAATTAATTCTTCTTTTCTTTTTAGTGATTCTATTTCTTTATTAATTGTTTTTATTTTTTCTTCTTTTTGTTGTTTAGCACGTTCTGTATCTTTTTGATCATGATTTTTTGATTCTTCAATACTATTTTTTAATAATGTTATTCTTTTTTTTATTGTCTCAATTCTTTGATTATAATCATCTATTATTACTTTATTTTCTCCTTTTTCTTTATTTATATTTTTCATTTTCTCATTTTCTATTCCTTTCTTTTTTTCAATTTCTGTTATTTCTTCTTCTTTTTTCATTAATTCTTCATTTGCTGTTTTTAATTCTTCTTTTAATTCTTCTATTTTTTCTTCTATTCGTTCTTCTTTTAATTCATTTAATTTATTTTCTTTTTCTTCTATTATTTGTTGAATATCTTCTACCTTTTTTTTTTGGTCTCTATATTTTGCCCATATCTCTTCTCTTTTTAATACTTCTATTTTCTTTTTAATTTGTTTTATTCCTTTTCCATCTTCCATTATTCCTTTTAATCTTTCAATTTCTCTTTCCATTTGTGGTATTTGTTCTTTTTTATCTTGTTTTGTTTTTTTTGCTTTACTACACGAATGTTCTGCTTGTTTATAACTTTCTTTTATCATATCAAGTTGTGTTGCTTCTAAAAAAAATTTATATTTATCTTCTGCTCGTGTTGCCGTTAAAAATGTTTTTGATGTATCTTGCATAAGAAGAATACATGGATTGTCAATAGGAATATTAAAATGATCCAAAATTTCATTAACATCTGAACTTTTATGTCCAACAACTCTTGGTTTTTCTCCTGAATTCATTGAATAGATTTTATAACTACTTCCTCCGTCTTTTGATATTTTCCTTTCAATTATGATTGTATCTCCATATTTTTCTTTATCCATTGCCCCTTCTCCTCGATTTCTTAAATACACAGAAACTTTACAATGAGTTTCTCCATTTTTTACTATATCACTTACTCGTTTCCCTCTATTCGTAAATGTGGCTTTCGCTCCAAAACAAATAGCTAATGCTACTAATATTGCTGATTTTCCACTCCCATTTTCTCCTACTATAAAATTAACTTGTGAACAAAGGTCTAATTGAAGATGTCTATGGCACATAAAATTTTCTAAATCAATTCGTTCAATAGTACCAGGAATTTCTTCGTTCATTCTTATTTGTATTATTATTCAGTTGTTTTATTATAAAAACCAAAAATCATTTTTTCTTTTTCTCTTTTTTCATTTTTTTAGGGTTTGATGTATTAAATTGAGGTTTATCAGATTCGAAGATGGCACGTCAGAGACACCACATGAAACCCTAAAATAATCCCATGCTTCGAATCTCCCAGTTATCGTCTGGTCATGACGTGCCTTTGGTGAGATAATATCTATTCAACACTAACTGTTTATTATTATTAATATTTATTAGAAGTGATTATTATAAAAGATTATTATTCATTAACGTGTATTGTTATTCATTAACGTGTATTGTTCTTCATTAACGTGTATTGTTATTCATTATTAATTATAAGGATTATTATTTACTAAGGAGGTATTATGTATTAAGAATTATCATTTATTAAAGAAGACGCATATATAATTGATATTGTTGCACAAAAATTAAACATAAGGACATTATCAAGGAATAGCATTTCTTTAAGGGGTGTCGAAGGTAAAAGGAGATGAGCTATAACAGTAAGTTATGGATATACTCTCCTTAAAACAACAATATAAAGAATGAGAAATATTATATTACTCATTAAAATCAAAATAAAAGTCAGGCAGCAACTTAAATGAAAAATAGTTTAAATCGAGCATGATTGAAAAACAATATTTCAATAGAAATAAAGCGTGTTGAAGAAACTGATTCACTCACTTCTCAACATGATGAAAAACCTAAAAAATAAGGTTAATCATAATTGATTTCTTTTTTTTTTTTTTTTTTATTAAATTGAGGTTTATCTTTTTTTATATTCTTTCTTTAAACTCCTTGTACAATGATTATTTAAAATATACTTTTATTGTTAGTATTACATCAAGCGATTGATTAAATTCATTATATAGTTTCAATTTTTTTGATTAGAATTATTTGATTGTTATTATTATTTCAACATCATAAGAATTACCTAAAATTTATAAGAATAATTAATGTTTTAAGAATAATTTGTGATGGTTTATGATTCTTCTTCTCTTAATAAACTAAGTTGTGTCATGACTCAACTCTTTCATTTATTTTTAGTTAATAGAATTTTCAAATAACTTTTCTATTCATTCAGTTTATTGTAGTTGTATTGGTATAATATTTGTTGGTTGAGTACGTCTTGTAAGACTATTCTTTTAGTTGGTTTAAATCAAATAAAATTGGTACTATTAAATGTTTTCATAATAGGTTAGTTTCGTTTGAATATAAACTAAAGCTAATCTTGTTGCTACTCAGTATATCAATGATTATGTATGTAATAGTCTATCCACATATCCAAAAAAATAAGCAATTAATTAAGTATTAATATGATTAGTTTCTATTGTTAATGGTTCAGGGGAGACTAATCCCGTCAATGAGTCTTCATCTTCTTGTAATTCTACAGAATATGTTTGGTTGTGATTGAAGCAGTATTCAATAACATCTATCATGTTTTTTATGACAAGGTTTTTTACTTCTTTCTCGTTGTCAATCTCAATTTTTAATTCTTTAATTAATCTAATACTTTCTTTATTTATTAATCCATTTATTGAGATTACTACTGGTATTATTCTGACATCTTTTAATTTTTCTATTTTCAATGGAATATTCTTTAATTCTTTATACTTATTTCTTTTCTTCATTTACACTCAATTAATATTGTGATCAGCCACAATAGTCATATCAAATAATAGACTAGTTTTGTTCTTTTTATCTATTACATATATGTCTGGTATTTTGTGATATTGTCATTCATTTTTATGCATTATTTGTTTGTTCATATCATTGTGATGTCTTTATATTTGAACATTGTTTCATATGG